TGAATGACGTCGGCTGACATGACGCACTCCAGACTCTTGTACTGCTACGCCGCGAGGATGGAGCGAGACGAGCGACCATCGCTTCGATACTTCTAGTTTCTAGAACAGCCGCTAGAGAGCGTGTTGTTCTTGACTGGGCGCACCTAGAGTCGACCGCAAAACCTGTTGTTGTCCACTCGTTTTTCGTGGGTCACTAGTGCTTCCCTCCCAGTCCCACGGGAGAAAATGCTGGAATCTCGGGAAGGAGATGGGTGCCCGCTGGAACGTTTTCCCAAAGCACTTTTCCCAAGCTGTTGTACAAATTGAGTTGATTTTTTTCTCTCTGGTTATTTACGGTAATGTCGAGTCACTCCGTTATGCCAGAGTCCGGTCCGGTGCCGTTGAGTGTGCAGGATCGTGGGTATATTCCTCCCACTATCGCGCAGAGAGACGAGAACAGCCCATAGAGGCTGATCAAAGCAGCGCTGTCAAAGACCTCGCCCCTAACCCCCTCCTTGACTGGAGATGCACGGGACCGAATACAACCTGCTGAGGCAACGAGCTTGTATGGAGTGACCGACCGCTGTCTGCACCGCGCCATGCTTAAAACAAAATTGCTAAGAGCGCGTCAAGAGGCTGTCTGGTCGAGCAGTTCAGCAGGGGGTTAGACTAGGAATAAACCTATAACTTGTTCCTGGGCAGTTCAGAAGGCGCCGTTTGCGTGCGCACACCTGTAATTCTCGTTCAATAGTTTCTATAGATAGCGCGCGACTGAGTCATCGGGCACATTAAAGCGCCCCTCCGCGCGGGACAGGGGGGGCGTGCTGGCGCGCGAGGCGCGTTGCTAGTAACGCCTGGGGTGCGATCAGATCCTCTCCAGAGGCACCTTTGCAGCTGCTGCTGGGGGTCTTCCTCACGGGAAAGGTGGTGAAGTTCACGCTCGGGTCTAGTAGGGCTGTTTTCATGCTGTAAAGGTGGGCATTAGGAATTATTACTTTGGCAAAGGCCGTTCTGCAGCTCACTGAGAACAAAATGTGATCAAGCCGAGGACGGTTTCTCTCTTTTTTTTTTTAATGGGCAAGGTCATTAAATATCACGAGTCTTACATGACGTGCGAGTTTCTCCTAAAGCGGGTTTTCGAGATGAGGGTTGTACGTCGGTGTTCTCGCCCCTGAAAACCATTTGATCATTCGCCGATAGGAAATTCATTTCCCATTCTCTGGGATGCAGTCCGCAACACGCGGCAATGCTGCCTGGCTTGATTCTTGCGCTCCTGTGTGTGTAGAGCCATTTGGTTAAGGACCCGTTGTCTATCAGCGTTGTCTTACCAGGCCCTTTGACTTTGAGAGTGTAGTATGTTGTTTCTGCAGTTTGTATTGGTGCCAAAATGCATTTAATTTCAGTAATGATAATCAACCGTGCGTACGAATGTTTGCACAAACAAGGAAGTCATATTTTTTATTTGTGATTCTCCTATTACTGTCACAATATTCTTTCTAGAACAGAGCACGTCTCCTTTTCTTGGGGCCACCTTAAATGGGTACCAAAACATCTACCTGTGCCCAGAGACACGCCCCGGCGCGGCGACGTCACACACAGCGGCCAATCACCGTGCGGACGGCGGTCGATATTAGCATATCAAAGAGAACCCCGCTCCAATCACAGAGCCGCGGAAGCGTGGTCGGGCATTCTATTAAATCAAACTTGTAGCAAAGGCGCGTGTGAGGCTGCAGATCTGGCGTGCTCCACCAGTACAGCACCTGGGCTAGATTAAGGGCGAACTGCAAAGTCGATAGCGCCACCGAGGCCAGTATATCTGAGAGCGCTGGAATTAAAAGCACTGATCTGTCTAAGTCGCAGGACAAGCGCACTTCACTGGGATTCAGACCACTGCGGCTTGGTTTTCTTGTGTTTCTGAAAAAGAGAGTTGCTACCAGTGTTACTATCCTCTGCGGTGTGTACGTTTCAATGCATGGGGGCTACATAACACCAAAGGCAATGCTGACGCGTGTGGCAGTTTGCAAAAAGTGACTGCCGCGCAAGAAACTGAAAAAATAATTGATTTTTAAAAACAATATATATATATACGGGCATCGCTAACCTGAACAGAAGGAAATGGTACATTAAGTGAAAGAGACAATACGGTATAAGCCGTAAATCAGTAGTATTGTCATTCCCTGCGAAGAGAATCGTCAATATGCTTTGCGAATAAAAAGGAGGATTTGACCCACTTGCACTCAGCAGGCTCAGCCGGATACCGCTTCCTGACTGACTCGCTCGCGGGCGCGGCACGAGCCGGGCCGCCGGCCAGCCTCCAGCGCGAGCGCGGCGCAGAACCGTCCGGGACGCGAGCAGCGAGCAGCGAGAGCCGGGACCCCGGAGCGATGACGGAGAACAACGAGAAGGAGAACGAGCCCCAGAACCGGGATCTCCAGCGCTCCCCCGGCACCGTGTCGGTCCAGCCCGAGTCCAAGGTAAGACCTGCCCCTCCCGCCGCCGCCGCCGCCCCCCAGGGCGAGACGCGGACAGGTTCTGATCACCTGTCGAAGCCCGATAATAGGCCACTGTCGCCAGAAGGCGTATGACACAAGCGACACGACCCCGGTGAGAATGCATGACCCCCCTTGTCTTTATGGTCGTGACACATCCAAGTCATCTTTGTGACCAGCTTTTGTCGGTTGTTTTTTTTTGGTATAGGCTCTGTAAATATGGCGTCCTGTAAAATGACATTTGTCCGATTTGAAACGGGAGAATAAAACTTGATGAGTGGACCTCAGATAGCGGGTTTCTATAATTATTGTTTTAGAAGGGTGTCTTGATAGGAATGTAAATGAGAGATTAACACTTAAACCTGCATCTACGCCTTTGCTCGCGTTCCCCGGATGACATCAGTTGCGGGCTGTTCTGACTGGAGTGGACCTCTCTGGTTCTAACAGTCTGTGAACAGCGCGGGTTTCGAAGCAGCAGAGCGTGCCTCGCGGACTCAGGTGGCCCGGCATACCTGTCACGGTGCTCATGCAATATTGTCTGAGTCCTGTCCATGCAAAAGCCTTTTAAAGTAAAGGTTTTAAAGTCTTTCCACGGGAACTGGAATCCGTCGGCGATACCGTCCCTAGAACATATTAGCAGACAGGTAGAGCGATAATCTTGTCGAAGGAGTGAAGTCGCGGTAACACATTGGCAGGTGAACTGTCGCTGGCGGTGATCCGTGCTGTCAGATCACAGCGGCGAGGAATGAATCTGAAGGCTTCCGAATACTCCCACTGGGATACAGACTATCATGCCTATTTGATTGAGATTCTACTCAAATATGTTTTATTTTATTTTCGCCTTCTCATTTTCTCTTAAATTGCACGCCCGTGGCAGGGTATTAAGAGGCACCGCAGACCTCTAGCGTTATTAAGAGAAACGTGTCTTTTGGAAGTCTGTGTATAAATTCTAGTGGTTTGTGGGCTGGGCTCATTCAGGCGGAACCCGGGGAGTTCAGGTGTGCCCCGTGTCTTTCTCGGGAGTCCTGGTTTGTAAAACATACCGCTGATTCCCCAGTACAGGTCAATGTAGATATTGTAACATGCAACCGAAAATATTATCAGCCGTCTTTTTCAGACCTGAAGTATTAGACTACTCTGTGGTTGGATAAATATATTTTGACGTTAAATTGCACAGCTACTCAGTCGATTGTCAGTGTATTGGGGTCACGATGTTCTTATACCGATAGGTACAGTATAACTTCACGAAACGATTCCTTGTTATGGAATAATACTGTTTTCCTCTGTAGCCATGTGCGTCACTGTATAACTGAACTGACTTTCCCAGGTAATGACATTCTGTTCCGTTAAAGCCTGTATCTTCGAAACGTCGCTACACTCAGGAAGCAGTGAGTAATTCTCCTCCAGCGTGGAGAGCTGCCTGTCATTTGAAATAAACGAGCTCGGGCTAGATATTTATACCGTTTCCCTTGACATCTATATTTTAATCCTCACGACACAGGACGTCAGACAGCAGCTCGCTGACGTCAAAGAAAGGTCTCTTCCTTGACGTATGAACTACGCTGGATCTTTGAGCTGCCCCCAGCTCATTGGGAGTGCTGTGACTTCTTTGTTTGAATGAGCGCATAGGAGGGGTCATCGGCTGAATTGACCTCTATGGACCGGGCTGGCAGACCACGAGCAGCACGCGCGCCGGAAGCGATGGGGCCTCGGCACAATCCAAGATTAGTGTGGATGGGGGTCTGTTAAATGACCGCGAATTACTGTGGGGTCTGTGTGATCGCCACGAAACTACAACACCTGGGCGTGCACGCGTGCTCTTCTGTCACCGATTCACTCTGCGCGCCCAGCCTCGTCTCCTGCGCGTCATTGCGCCTGCGGGCGGGGCTGTGTTGTTCATCTGGTAGCGGAGCCAGACAAGGCGCTATATTCCGGGGAACGCAGGCACCTGACACGCTGCTTTTGAACTGCGCAAACCTGCACAGACTGAGCAAAAAAAAAGAATGAGACCGGGGCGCTATATCTCGGGAACGAAAGCGACAACAACACTGCTTTTAACAGCTCAAACCTGCACGGAGCACAACCAGCTGGGGTGGGTGGTGTGTCTTGTTTGCAGAGGGGGCAACTTCACAGAGCTAGCAGAGCCAGGCATTAAATAAGATTTAAGTGCCTTATTTTAAAGATTAGTCCATTTCCAGAGGGGTTCAGTCTTTAACAGTACTATTTCCAGCGATTTGCGCTAGCTAATAGCTCGCGCATTACAGTCTAAATTGTGGAGAAGGAGGGAAAAGTACAAGTGATTACGATCTGGAGACTTTTCACAGGCTCATTACGGACTATCGAGAGGCGTCCGCCACAATCGAATCCTGAGATGCTTAATTACAACCCCCCGTCATTTCTGTTCTGCTGAGATGAAGGTAAAATCTGATTTTCCGCATTTGGCGGCTGTCACGCTGCAATTGTACTTCACTGATCTTCGGGCTGCCGAGCTCCCGCCCGCCGGCCAGGCGCGCCGCGGTGTGATCGTGCCCGGGCTGACCCCGAGCACCACCGGCACCGTCTCGTCCGTCGATCCGAGTCCCCCCAGCTGCTGCCCGAGCGCTGATCCCAGACAACCAGCCGACTGGCTACATCTTGGTGTTTAAAACAACACCGTGAGCTGACCAGCGAGCGGCACGCTGGGGCAGCGGTTCACATCGCCGCCTCGCAGCGCTGGGGCCCCGGGTTGCATTGCAGAGCCGGGGTGCTGTCTGTGTGGAGTTTGCATGTTCTGCCCAAGCCCCTCTGCGTTTTCTCCGGGTGCTCCGGTTTCCTCCAGTCCACAGCCGTGCTAGAAGTGAATTGCTCTCAGGGGGAGCTGGCCCTGGGGGGGTGCCTGCCCTGGGATGAACTGTACCCTGCCTTGGGCCCGTTGCTTGCCGAGATAGGCTCCGACTCCCCCGCGACCCTGCATTGGATGAAGCAGTTAGTAAAATGGATGCATGAGCAGGCTCTATGAAACAATGAGTTTATGAGTGACAGGAGCAGTATTTGCAACGACATCCAATCCCCCCTTTCCCCCCCCCTCATCGTTTAATTTATTATGCATGTTGGCCACTGCCCTTCGAGCAATGTCAGTCTGAATCATATCCGCCCGGCTGGGACACTACTGCGCCAGTTTGTGTCATCGGAGATGTCGAGGCGTCCCGCGTGAAAGAGGCCTAAGAAATGTCATCACGAGCTGCCCCGGAGATCGTCCTCGCGCGCCTCGCCCGGACCAATCGGGACGGCGGAACCGGCCTCGGCGGCACGAGCGGTCCTGTCACGAGACGCCGCGGCTCTGGGAGCTCAGCCGTGAAATCGCTCATCTCGTTACATTTATAGTGCTTTTCCCACCCTTTCCTATTAATTGATTTAGACAAGGACTGAACGTCTCTTTTATACTCGGCTGTAATATCCCGGCTTTGTACAGCACGTCTGAGCTGGGGTCCAGCCTGCAATGTAGCATATGCAGAATATTTACACACCGATAAAAAGCACCGTGTTGGAACTCACTCCCGGCAGTTTCTGAATGCAAATCCTGACGTTGGATGGTGGTCATTTAACGTCTTAAATTGAAATGCGGCTTCTAAACCTTCCTAGTGAATTGAATGTCGGAAGAAATGTAGGTGTGGGCACTGTCGACGCACCAGCACAGCGTCTCTTCCCCGAAAAGAAAAACAAAGCCTCGTCTCACGCGAAATGTGGGGGAATTTGTGTTCAGTGCCTTCGGGTTTGTGGTTGTTCTCCTGCCAAGCAGTCGTTCGTGTGCAAAGGGCGGCTTTACGAGGACGCAGAGGAGACGTGCCCGTGTCATTGTGTTTTGTGCTTGTGCCTCAGTCTAATTCTAGTGTGGGAATGCTGTGTTCTGATTATATCTGGGAGTCCTGGCATAGAATGTGAGTTCTGCTACACTTGGTATTATTGTGTGGGTACGGCTGAAACACAGAGGAATAAGGCACGCACTCGATTTAAAAGATGTTTTCGCTTCATGGCATGTGAAGATTTTGGCTTTGAGGGCGATGGTTCTAAAATAGAAGCAGTAAATCAGGGAACGTTTCTCACAGCGCTGTTTGTGCAGCCCCAGGTCGGCGCATGGTGCCTGTGAAAGTCCCTTCAACTCTGCAGAAGGGTTCAGGATAGTGGGTCTGTGAGGCCTGTGACTGGACTGATTAGGTTTCCCAACTGGGAACAGGGAGCTGGATAGACTGTGTGTGGAACTTTAAAAGCTCTGTAGCTGGCGCTTATGAAACTGACTGCGCTATGAGCTGTAGCCCTTTCTCAGACATCTGCACCTGCACACACAAACAATCCAGATGGGCACACAAGCAAACAAACACACACACACACTCAGTCATGCATGCTCAGATAAGCTCATGCACACCGACGGGGACTACAGAAGACAGACAGACAGGTTCTACTTGACCAGACAGAACCTTCAGAACCTAGTGAGGTCTTCCATCAATTCAGGGGCATCCAGTTCCAGTCTCTCCCTGTGGAAAATCTGTCATGGTAAACTGAGAGTTGCATCATGTTTAAACATGCGCATTTCTACCCACTTTTTATATATGAAATGGTAAAAAAAAAACACACACCTCCACATTGCAGTTCTCAATGGTATGTTCTTGTCTTTTTTTCCTCTAATGATCGTACCTGCAAAAAAAAAAGGATTGAAACTCAAGGACTGTGGTGACAAACAGTGAAACCTCAGATTCCTTTACAGATCCTCCGGAATGGGAGGTCACCTGCCTGTGACAGTGCGCTGTCTGGCAGAGTGGCCCTGCGCAGACGCAGACGCAGTCGTGCGCAGGAACTGCCTGCAGTGCATCCAGCGCAGCCCACTGCCTGGGCTGCAGCTCTTTCCAATACGAGCAGCACAGAATACCTGCACACGGGAAGAGAAAGCCAGGAGCTGCCTTTAAACACGCAGACGACGGTCAGCTTGACATCGCTGGCTGGGGTTCTTG